TGGATGTGAATAAGTACAGGGGAGCAGGTTAATGGCATTGCTGACCTGAGAAAGATCACAAACTGACTCTAACAAAGACAACAGGATTTCAGAGACAGACTCCATTTATTCAAATTTTAAATATTATTTGTATTTTATTAGAAAGAAGTAGCTGAAGTAAAACAGGTAGTGCTTCAGAGAATGGAAATATGCAAAGAGATACACGTATTCTTAAATATTAATGTAGTTTCTGAGTCATTAAGGCATTTCTTTTCCATTAGTCATGAAGAAAAAAAGATTAAAATGAGGGGTGATGGGTATTTATATGGGTGGATTTACCCATCTGTCTGGCTAATCACAAGCAAATTCATTTTTTTTCTGCATCTAGATATGTGTGTATACAAATACATATAAATGCATATATTTGCATATTATACATCATTTACACTGTGACCATTTCATTAGGGAAAGAGTTCTACAAACAAATAACAACAGATTGAAATTCTCTTTGTAACTAAGTGGGTTACAGGGAGGTGGGTAGAGGTTCATATAGCAGTGGTTGCTATAGTTACAGCATCTCTCTCTGGCCCTTTAATGAGGAACTAATCACTTTATTCTTTCCAAGACTTCACATTTCACATGTTTGTCTCTTCACCCACACCTGACATTATTTTCTCCCTGAGGAAAGGCAGAAATTTATTAAGCCTCCACAGCAAAAAGGCTCTTTGACTAGCTAATCCCAAACCCTGAGGGAGAAGAAACAGGATTTTCAGTGAAGCACTGTGAATAAGAGAGGCAGGAACCTCCTGTGTCATGGCAGTGAATAACACTTTCCACCTCACCATAGCTTCCAGCAACCCTAAAAGACTTCCAAGAAAGTCTGTACCTTACACTTCTATTGCCACCTGTCATTCAATTAAATATCAGAGATGAGGGGGGAAAAAAAAGAAATTAAAATTTACAACTGTTTAATGAACAGCTCTTGATAGCATGCCCCCAAAAAATCAGTAATTCCTAAGATTAAAGACATCGCAGGCTCTGTATGCACACATAGTAACTTCTTCCCCCTCTGAAGTTGTGTCTATGTCTTTATGTTTTGACAATGCATTTTACTGAGCACATGCCCAAGCTGAAAATTAACTAACAATGGCAAATGCAATTTAGTGCCCCTAAACATGTATTTCTATTATTTCTTTAAGATATGCCTTTCTGTCTTTTCAGATGAACTTACAGGCTCAGTGCTGAAATTAAAAAAGGTTGTATTAAGCTGTGTCACAGATTTTGCTATGCTTAACTGACAAACTGAAATTACCCATGCTTGGTCATTGCCTCAAGGAAATTATGTCTTAATTTACTAGGGACTCAAGCCTGTGTGTGAATATATATATTTGCCTATGTCTCTTTCTCTTGACTTTTGAAACCACTGCCATTTATCAGACAGATATAAGAGGTAGACACTTGAAGGTACTGTCTTCAATACCATAAAGACAGTAAAATATATCTTGTCTTTAACACCTTAAAAATATTCTGATACTTTTATGTCTATAATTATATCTCAGTATTTTTTCAGTAATTTCAAGAGGACATTATGTTCTGTAACTATAGATGACCAGAGAGAGAGAGAGAAGCAAATGCTGAGCCACACAATGTGTTATGATCTCAATCCATGGGCAGCAGATAATCTACACGAGACACAAGAAAATGGATATCTTTGGTTCCAACAACGAACAACATTTTATTGAAATACTAAGAAGCAAACAAAATAATAATAATAATAAAAAAAGTTTTATTACATTAGATTTAAGAGAGGGAAAGTATAGTTATCTGCTTAGCAAAGGGTTCTGACTTCTTTTTATAAATTCTTTATTATTAGGAGGAGGAATACATTTAAATTTAGCATGTTAGTTCTTGGTTATAGTGTATGGCATGAAACCTGACAAAGGTTTAACAGAACTGTCAATGCAAAAAGTCACTGCAATCTACAGGGGACTTTTACATCCTTTGGAGATAGTATCATAGAACAGTTTTAAGGACACAGCACAGACAAGATAATTTATTGCTTGCTTTGTCTTCACCCTCTCTATTCCTTTTAAAACAAGCAAATTCTCAGTATCATGTGCATCCAATATAAATATGTGGACAATGTTGAGGGTGAACATTAGGTTTGTCAGTTCAATTTGGAGGCCCGCAGACAAACTGGTGTGGTCCGTGGTCCACCTTGGGCTGACATACACTATAGGATATCATAAACATTGATAGGAGCTGAATTGGAGAGATTCTACTGCTTGACCTTTGTTTTTCTTTCCAGCTTTTTTTTTTTTTTTTTTCCATTTGCAAATGTTTTCTTAACAGAAAGAGGGAAGCAAGGAGCTGAGGAGCAAAACAAACAGAAAACTGAGGCAACATTTTTCCTTATAGAAATAGATCTAAAAAGATTGTTCTTTCTTGCAAGCTAATATCCTTTTTTTTTTTTTTTTTTTTTAGCATATCAAGGAAATAGGAAAAAAGAGTTTTTTTGGAACAGAAAGTGATACAAACACATTACCCATTTTGATAGATGGTTGCATGAGCACAAAAAGAAAAGTTTTTTAAGAAAATGTTAACATCCTTAATTCCTGAAATGCTTACTGTCTTTAGGTACACTTACCCTTGCTGAAAGGCCCTTACGGATGGTAACAATTACTTAAAACAACAGTAAGTACGTTCCATATGAATCTAAACAGATTTTGAACATACTGATAAAGTAGGTGGCATCATCCTGAGTTAGACTTTCTCTATCTAGTGAATTAAAAATACATTTGTTTCCATAGCAAGATCTGAATTGCAAGCACTATTTCTTTCAATTTCAGATAAGAATATGAAGCCTAAGCAGTGATAATAGTTACTTTTGCTAGACTCTGCTTACAAAAATACCTTGCAATGAGAAGGTGACATTTTGCTGAACTCTGCTAGCAAGGCAGCTAAGTTCTCTTCTGAGCTGCAAAACATTTTATAATACAAGCAGTTGCCTATTTGCATGTGAAAGACAAAAAGCAACAATTAAACTAATCTCCAGAAGATCAATTACTTCATCATTCCAGTTCTACACATAATTTGTCATATCATATTAGCTTTTCCTTTTTAAATGCTGTGTACAGAATAACCATTTCTTCCTGACTCATCCTTCTGCAAGGCAGATGAACAAATAATATTTTTAAACACTTCTGTTCTATTATTCCAAATAGAAAGTGGGTCACTGGGTTTGCAAACAGTTATCATGGCATTGGCTGAGATAAAGTTAATTTTCTTCACAGAGGCTCACATGATGCTGTGATTTGGATTTGACAATTGGAATACATACTTTGAATATATGTCAGTATACCTATATACTAAAGATAAGAAGATGGTTTCAACAGTTGCAAATATTCTGAACCTTCATTATAAATAACTAGTGTAGATGAACACAGTTTCATGAGGAATGCGTACGTGTGGAATTCCATGATATTTGAGGAGATGTCACATGATAACGTGATAACATGCTACTGAACACGGAGAAATTGCAAAGTGAGATTGAATGTGCATTTATATATTTCCTGGAGTTTCCTACTAAAAATAAATAGCATTTTAAAGTTATTGAGTTCAGTAGCTGGAATCTCTCCTTGTTTCCTGATGGAAGATGTAGACACAGCCTAAATTAGTATACCAACACAATACATGAGCCTATGAGCCTGTCATGCACTTTTTGTCTTGATGGTTGCTCAAGCTATTACTTAGTAGCAAAGAAGATGAGATTAATCAAACTAAATTAGGCAAACACTCAAATATTTAACTTCCATTCACCACCTGTAATTGCCAGTCAAATTTAAATACATTCACTTTCTGAATGATAAAATAAAAATGTCCTTAGTGGAAATATTTGACTACATATTAACTCAAAGGGAAAATTGGGTTATTTATGGAATGGTAATGCTCAGAACATTTGAAAAGAAAAGCACGTACTAATATTTTGCATGTTAGGATTTCCCACTGTTTTACAAAAATGTGTAAGTCTAAAAGAAAATAATCTGCTCCTGAAAACATCAACTAAATATACAACAATTTAATGACCTAAATTGATCGTGAAAGAAAAACATGGCAATGTACTGTATATGCTACCTCTAAGTGAGGAGATAATGTCTTGGAATAAAACTCTGCAATAGCTTTATTTTTAAAAGTTTGGGTTGCACATCAAGAAAAAGATCAATTTGCAGTCAATGTAGAATATGTGACATGACCTGAAAATAAGTAATTAACTTGTAAAACTATAAATACTTGAAAGGTGAATAGTGATATCACTATCACAAAAAAAGGGAAATTCAAACTGCCTGCTGCCACAGTAGAGTTCTGTTCATGCTTAAATCAATTCAAACTCACTATGATTTATGTGACACAGACAAGGGAGGAGATACAAACCTAGAAATAAGCTTGCTGACTGGAACCTAAGACCTTCTCCTGAGACGCCCTAAAGCTAGGTGTCCTCATTCTTCAACGAGTGTGCCTTCCCGTTGTTTCCACAAGTTAGATGTCTGCTCAGCTCTTGTGAGGCCCCGTCTGGAGTACTGCATTCAGGTCTGGGGCCCCCAGTACAGGAAGGATGTGAAGCTCTTGGAGTGGGTCCAGAGGAGGGCCACTAAGATATCAGAGGGCTGGAGCACCTCTCCAATGAAGAAAGATTGAGGGAACTGGACTTGGAGAAGGCTCTGGGGAGACCTCATTGTGGCCCTCCAGAACTTGAAGGCAGCATATAAACAGGAGGTGACATGGCTGTTTACGAAGGTGGATATTGATAGGACAAGTGGGAAAGGTATTAAACTGAGACAGGGGAAGTTTAGGTTAGATATTAGAAGGACATTTTTCACACAGAGGGTGGTGACACACTGGAACAGGTAGTCAAAGGAGGTTGTGGATGCCCCATCCCTGGAGGCATTCAAGGCCAGGCTGGATGTGGCTCTGGGCAGCCTGGTCTGGTGGTTGGCGATCCTGCACATAGCAGGGGGGTTGAAACTCAATAATCATTGCGGTCCTTTTCAATCCAGGCCATTCTGTGATTCTATGTTTCCTTGACTTGGCAATGGGCCCAACCTAATAAATTCTGCCCTTCAGATTAGTTACTAGCCTTGGGTTTTGACTTTGACCTGGCTCAACATCAGCCAGCATGAAGTCTGGAGAAAGACAGCTCACTCTACCTGCAAAACTGACACAAAAAGTCCAACTATTTCTTTCTGCTCTGACATCCTTAAACCTTTAGTTTGCTCTTGCACAAAGGAACAGATCTAACAGAAGAGAGATCTTATGCCCAGGAAGGCTTTTCCCTAGGAGAGGACAGATTTGAAAGTCTTCATGTTGCTGAAAGTATCTAACCTAACTCATCCTGATGGCATGACTTAACCTTTATATCTACCTCTTTTCCCCAAAACAAGATTCTATCAGCACATCCTATCCAGTAGGTACACCCAGTAAATTTTTACTTCTGTACATAAACTTATATTGACATGATACTATGGAGGACTGTGTGAGGGCAATTGACTTTCAAGTGAATTGGAAGTTGATCTGCAAAGTTAAACAGTGATAAACCCCAAGAGTGATAATCCAGATTCAGCATCTCACAGATCTGTGTAATTTAGTCAGCTCACAGTCTTACTGACTTGCTTACCACCCTTTAGATATCAGCTGTGTCAATCCTTGGCTGCTATGTGCTTTCCTAGCAACACAATTTCTTCACATCACTGATACAGATCAGCTCCTGACTTAAATATATTCCTTTCTGATGCCAGATGAAGGAAGGGTTCAAATAAACAGAAGAAATAGAATTTTTCATGTTCGTTTTTGAGTGGGACTCGTTGACTTTCATTCTCCTCAGGATTGATTGTAGAGTAGCTAGAGGTACATCCATTAGCTTATTTAGTCTAGCAAAAAGGCAAAGTGCTGTGGTGAGACTTAGGATGTCACCATGTTTGCATTGCAGCCGGTGGACATCTCCTCAGTGTCCCATGCCACCTGAGGGTCTCTGCAATGCATTCAGCTCCCCGAGGCAGAGGTCACCTTAAGCCAGATGGGATTTTTTAGAAGACTTGGCATGTTCTAAATTTATATCTACATCACATTTCACCAAGTATGACACAGAATATTTTTCTTCTTTCTCTATATTGATGCTTCTTTTTCTGGAATGGCGAATTCCGTTGCCAATTTCTCACTGTGGGATGGCTTTTCATAGGAAGAAAAAAAAGAAAAGAAAACAGAACATGTGGATTATCCAAACTTAGCTTTTAAATTAAACCAATAGGCTATGACAAGTAGTGAATTTCTTGAATGGTTACTGCACACTGCAGGAGGCATTAAAAGGTACAAGACAAGAAGACAATTGTTTTTTAAGCACTCAAGTAGAGTGAAACTCAACTAGAAATGAATTACCTGGAGTGCATTATTGCTACTGCAACATCAAATTCATGCACCTAAATAAAACAGAACAAGCCATGCTTTAAATAAAAAAAAAAAAAAAAAATTAAAGAAACACAAGACTAGGAGGAGTTCATAAAGTCAAGTATTCCATAGAAAACTTATATATAATTTCAGACGGTACATCAACAATTTTAAGGCTCCTGAACCTTGAAATAGAAAACTTGCTCAGACTGTCAACACTATAAGATACTCTATGGTCACAGTTTCACTAAGTGCTGAAGAACAAAAACTGTTTATAAATAAAGTAAAACTAACCAAGGACATTAATTTCTGGAAAAAATAAATTGAAAATATTTAATTGAAAATATTTAGTTGGTATTCTACTCAGCAATATATTTAGAAAATTCACATTGCTAATGACATTAATAATTGTATTCAAATTTCATTCAAAATTTGGAATTTTCATGCTAGTTTTATGCCATTTTCATGTCAGTTTGGTTATCATTTAAATAAGACAGACAAAATCAATAGAGTAAAAATTATGAAGTCTGCTTCTATATCCAGATTGCACTTTATCCAAGAGTACTTCATTCCTTATAAGGTCTTACTGGTTTCTAGAGTCAAGCAGGGTTCTGCAAAGCCTAATTTCTAGGCAATTAAACCCCTATTGTATCTAGAACCAAATGGATACTAGTGAAGTTATGCATCATTTTTAGTGATGCGTTACACATCTGAGAGCTGCCACACTAGTGCTACCAAATTGATTTATTTTATCTTAAGAGCCTAAGCAAGGTGGATCTACAGCCACATGAGTGTTTTAAGTTGAATGTTAAATTGAAATTGGCCCAACCACCTCTATGGGACTGATGAAAAAGCAACTAAGAAATGAGAGCTCTGTGGCAATTTCTACAACTGATTTAAAGGAGAAATAGTGCATTCACCAATAACAGCCTCCTCCTCGTGTTTAATTGAGCATTTCATTTACAGAGTACCCAGCTTAGCTCTGAAAGCATACATTTAGGCTTAAAATAGACTCAGCAATTGCACAACATGTTAAGGCAGAAAAGCCAAAAGCCAAACCCAAGGAGGAACTTTTAAAAATTCAGTTTCACTGAAATATCAGAAGTGCTCAAGGTATTGAGGTTTTGCAAAATCTCTAAAGTCTCAATGTTAGCTAAAAAAAAAAAAAAAAATCTTCAATGAAAAATAGAAGATGAATATTTGTTTTTCTTTCAGTGGAAGAAAGCTGAACTAAGGGCAACAGGCTGGCATAAAAGAAGCCTGCCTACAGTACATACTGTTTTTAACTTCATTCTCCATTCCCAGTTTCAGCAGCCTTGTTCTAAAAAATAAAAAAGATCTGCAATGTTTTCAAGCATGGATAGTGAAGCAAAAGCTGTCCTTATGGTAACAGCTTTCAACTTCTCTTTACTAGCTTAATTCTGTACTTGCCTTGAAAAAAATCTCACCTTTTGCTGCTCTGATGCTTGAAGGATGACCCACTGTGCTGCTGACAAGTTTACACTCCTCTGAAATTGAAGGAACATGAATATATCCATTGAGAAGAAAAAAAAAACAACACAGGATAATCAGCTTAAAAATTTAATGCTGTCACAGGTTTAGGTGAAATATTTTTTAAGTGCATACACTGTATGAGCTTGACTCTAGCCCTCCCTTGAATAAACATTAGAAGGTGAAAGCAGATTGCTGTCACTAGAAGTACAGTTATCTTTCTGGGCCCAGAGGCAGGACAAAACCTCAGGCTAATGGTCTGACGCTTATTGCATCTGGTAAGCAATGTACCTTCACAGAGAAGGGAGATGAGCTGCAACCTGGTGAACACCATGGAGTTTTAGCAATAGATATGCATCACAGCACATCTTACAACACCAGTCTCAGTCATTGATGACTTCAATCCAATTTACAGCAGACAGAAGAAAGCATAAGCCTTCAAAATTCAGAAAGTGCATCCTTACCAACCAAGGACCAGCATGCAGCGTGTTGACTGATGACCTTCCTCCACATACCCATGTGGAAACTCACAATCAGAAAAACATGCTTAATTTTCCTTCAGCTCCCTTCAACTTCATATTAGTTGGGGATCAGATTACGGCTTTTACTGAGTTGTAGTCATTGCGGTAAATTTTAATAACTTTTATAACTTAGTAACTGTATTGATTCCACCCTCATCATAAGACCTAGGAGTTATTTCAATCCTTTTGTTGAAAATGTATACAAGAAAACGTGAAAAATAAAGTACCACTTTGGATTTACTTCAGATTATAGAAAAGAAGTTACAAAAATAGACCTAAATAAAACTACTTACATTTGTGCATGAGGGAATAAAAGAAGAAGAAAAAGAAGAAGAAAAAGAAGAAGAGAAAGAAAAAGAAAAAGGGAAAGGGAAAGAAAAAAATAAAAAGAAACTAGCAAGCTTCATAAACCCTAGAGCATGTGTAATTCCATTTTGTTCTAATTCATGCATTTTATCAAATTCTGATCTACGCTGTCTCCAGGTTATGAGAACTAAAAAATCACTCATTTGAATTCTTACTACTCTCAGATGGGCACCAAGATTTCTAGAAAATCATCACCCCATAGGATCAGATGAGAACAAGAGAAATGAAACTTACTGTTTTTTTCTACGTAGGCTTTCCAGAAAGCCTTTTTTTTAGGCTCTGAGACAAAATGGCTGAAAAAGGAAAAGCATCAGTTTAACAGTGCAAAGGTTCTTGAAAACTGTGTGTAAATAAAACCGTGTCTTAGTCTTAAGGGTATGCTAATCTTGAGCATTAAGAACTCAAATAGAGGAGCTCAGTGCATGGAGGTTTTTAATTGCCAAAGATCTCACTTAATCTTTCAGCATTCCTTATTATTGCAATGCTCTGTGCTTTTGTTGGCAAGAAAGTATTTCTTTTTACCCCAGTTTTGTCTCCTGATTGTTTCCCAATTGTTCTTTTAGGCTTCTCTTCAATAATCAGATTGTGACAAATTTCCTCATTTTGTTTAAAAACAGTGCTTGAAAATACTTTCATCTCCCTCTGTGACAAAAAGCTACAGAAATGCATGAAATGCAGTAGCCAACAGCAAGGAAAGCAAAAGTTCTAGCACAGACCCTAATAACAAACACTGCATGTCCAAAGATTGCACCTGGTCTTTTTATTTGTCTGGTCTGCAAACAAATTCTGGGATTACTGTCAGAAGTTTGTAATAGCTCAAAGTGTTGCATCAAAGGTTCCAGAGATTTGGGAGATTTTAGTATATTGAGAAAAAGGTAAAACTAATTACAAGAAGCATCAGTCTGGTGAAGAAATAGAGAGTTAAAATGGGAAAGCCTTGATGGGAAAAGGGGGAGTACAGCTGACTGACCACCTGCTCCAAAAGAAGCATGAAGAAATCAATTGGCTTTCCAGTTGACTGTGGTATGCAGTCAGTGTTAGTAAATGGCAGTATAAATTAGCTAAACAGACATCAGCAGCAAACTGACACTGTACTCTGGGAAAAATTCTTTTTCCTCTCCAAACAGTTTTCATTGCAATAGTTACTGTCTTATTACAGGAAATCCATTTAGAATAAAAATGTGGCTCTTTAAAATAGGCCAAAGTTTGGACTGTGAATATGCCTGACTTCTTAGTACCTAAGGTTTCATTTTCCCCTCTTCTTACAACTATTTTGGAATGGATAAAGCCTTAGTATTGACATAGAAACATGAGATTTAGTTTGTGGGAACTGAAATCAAACAAAATCTTGTTATCAAAAGAGTTCACTACATTCATCAACTGCAGTCACAATTTCTTTGTGCATTAGTCATGATCTTGATGACTGAAAGCTGTTGGCTGTAAGTATTTCCTAAACTCAGACATGCTCTCTTCATCACACTGGTTAACAGCAAGTGAAGCACTGACTGTTTTAGTAACCTTCATTCATGTTGTGCAGTATTTCCCCAGCTGAGGAAAGGAAGACTTCTAGGAGAAGAGAAGAAAAGCAATCTTAGATGAAAATTTTTCATAAGGACTTCCTACTTCTTGGTCATGTTTTCAACAATCATCTGCAACTGAGCCATATAAAGAAAGGCAAATAAAGGATAACACCCTACAGTTACTGTGGGCTACTGCTTAAGTAAATGTGCAAGATCAGTGGGAACCACTTGCATGTGTAGTCATCTCACTTCCAGTGCACTTTGTAACAGTAATCTAGACTAACAGTTGATTCACAAATAGCTTAACAAACATAGGTTTTAACAGAGCAGACCCATTAATTTAGATGTATTCATGTCTTTTACAAATATTTTGGCAAGTGTGGGCTAGAGCTACGAAAACATTTAAGCCCTAGTTGCCCTCATCACTTTATTTTAGAGAATTTGCTTAGGCTGTGGGTGAAAAGGAGCTCCCTGTGCTCCAGGCTAGACTTACGCCTCACATATTTCACCTCCCAGGAGGGTGTTTTGATGTGAGGTTCTCAGTCCCCCACTTGACTCTGGTTCCTCCCCCATCCACCTTTAATGACCAGGTCTAATCAGGTTTTCCGTTTGCTCCCTCTCAGAAAGTCATAAAGAAACTCAAAACCACCTCATCCAAAAATACCCCAGAGCAGTGTCTCTCCATACATACCACATTGCTGGATCAGGACAGCAGTGATTAGATATTTCTTTTATAGCTTTACTATGGGATTAAGAATAAAAAGAAAATAGTAAACATCTTTGAAGCCTTTCCCCGTCTTTGCTCTGAGCACCTGCAGGGCTCACTGCTCTGCAGCTAATTAGCGTGGTGCTGCCAAGCAGTGCGGGTGAGGCAGAGCTGGGGACAGGGCTGCAGCCTGGTCAGGCAAAGAGAGCCATTCCTCTGCAGCTGTGGAGGAATGTGTGCCCCTCACAGCCCCACTGTGAGGGGCAGGGAGCAATCTGATTCAGAAAAAGTATCCTGATTTCAGATTTACAGGCAGGCCACTGCCGCGATCACAGTACTTGCGCTTTTTCACTCCTATCTTTTGCAATCCTTTGCAAGCACGAATTTGGAACTGAAATGATTAAACAACATAATTAGACATTTATTTTAACTCTGTGGGCCAACGTGTTGGCTGAGGCTTTGCAAATGATGAAAATCACAGCTGCCATGTTCAGCTTTGGGAGCAGCTCAGCTGCACTGTGTGTCATCACTTCCCATCCTGCTCTCTTGTTTTAATTAGACACTCTTGCAGGCAACAAATCACAGTGATATTCTTCCCAAATGCTGCAAGTGCCCAGAGTAAACTGTGAATACTCAGGGAAAAACAAAAAGGCAAACTAGATGTTTGCACTCCTTAAGGTACCAGGGCTTTGCAAACAAAATAGCCATGTTCAGGTAGAGGCAGCCTACCACAGCCACAGTGGTGTCAATCCAGATATTGCTGAGGGAATATTGCCTACTCTCTATGCAAATAGGCTTGGGTTGTCTGAGGCTCCTGACCCATGCTTTACCTCCACCTTCCTTTCCCAGCATTCTTTCCCTCTGTTCCCAGGATACTGCTACCCAAAAAGGCTATGACACCAACCAGAAAAGAAGAGAGAGCAGCGAGGATGTTTCACTCATTTCTTCTACCAGTTAACTCAATGAGTATCACAACTCCTGGAATTAATTCCCAGCTGTCTCACTTTTCACCAAAAGCAAAGGATCAGATCAATTCCTATAGATGTGAACACAAGAAAATCGCTTGCCTTTCTTTCTGTGGGAGTACAAGGCCTCTAGATCCTTCAAAAGAAAGACTCCTTGATTTTATCCACCTCTCCATCCCAGTCCCAAAAGTTCCTGCTATAAACAATACTCTAAACCTCTCTTCCCTCTGCAAGTTCCTACTCTTCTTTAGGACAAATCCTTTTAATCTTGTGAGACCATTCCCACTGCTGAGAAAGTTCCAGCAGGAGCTTCCCTGGGAAAGCTGCCCAGCAGCATGCTCTGCCTATGCAGTACATTGAAGGCAAAGTGCCCTGCACTTCACAAGCTTCTCTAATTTTCACTCCTCGTGACCTGCACCTTCCCCTATCTTCCCCAGCAAAATGCTGAATGCAGCAGAGCGCTTTGTGCCTGGCTGATCCAGAGGAAACTGGTTAGAAGAAACATTTCTTTTAGATAGGAGAACATACAGCTTAGTGTAGAGGGAAATGCTCAAGCACTCCAGGCACTGAACTGCATCTTGAAGTGAAATCTTATCTCCCAGCAATTTCTAGTTGGCTGCAGCTGTAGCTGACCTACTACTAAGTGTAGTAGGAAGGAAAGAGCCACAGCCTCCTGAATAATAATAATAGCAATAATAATAAATTCCATGTCAGACAGCAGTACTTATTCATAGTCATATTAAGTGTATTAAGTACTCTTACAGCTATTTCTGTTCGGCAAAACACTTCCAGATATGATATGGAAAGATTCATTTTAGCAGGTCTCATTCTTTGAAAGAGGCAGACGTTTATCTTCCAGGGTTTAGAACTTGGATAAAACAAACTAAGCACCTTGCAGGTATTCTCTCACTATTGTAATGATAAAAAATATATATATTCTCAATGAAAAATATTTCAGACCATATGCAAATCAGCAGATTGCTTTGCAGGAAAAACTGAACCATTCATACGTAGTATGAGCCATACAAGTTAATTACAGAACAAACTGCTGTTTTGAAGGATGATTACAGATGAGGCCCTGGGTATGCATATAACAAGATGTGTTAATTTGAAATGATCTTGGTTGGGAAAACAGCAGAGCAGTAGCTTTTCTCCTGACAAGATAGAGACAAGCTACTGTACAGGGGAATAGGAAACAAGATGAATACTGGCAAATTACTGCCTCTGAGATATCAGCACCAGTTTTACTGAGTAGCAGATTGCTCATGGGAACAGTATCAACTGCATGATCCTGGTTCCAGAATTAATATTCTAATATAACCCTAGTAGAGCATAAGAGGTTGAGTAACTAAAAAATCATCTGATCCACAGCTATGTGGAATCATCAGTAAACTCACCACTCTGGATTCTCACAGAGTCCCCTCAGGTGAAGGCAAACAAAAAGGTTATTCAAACACTGGGCCAGACTAATACAGACTGAGGAAGAAAACACTGCTTGAACAACTCCCTGTTGAGACACTGAAAAAAACAGATGCCTGTTTGCCAAGGCAGGCTGCTCCCTGAGCAGCTATCAGCTTGCAGCATGTATCTGCACTTACAAAAAGAGGTTTAAGAAAATGTATTGAACTGCAAACAAAAATAGTAGCAAGAGCAAGCAGAGCTCAAACAGCTGCATTGCAGTAGATGTTTGTTTTTGAGCATCGTGACAGAAAATGCTCTCCAGTGCATGCCTTCAACAGGAATGCCAGGATGCTGCTAGTTCTTGCACTCCCACTGACTGGGATGACAAAGCAATGAGCGTAACTGTCAGGCAGGAAGAAAAAAGCAGAGAACTCTGCCGAGATGCTTCAAACAAAAGAACATGAAGATTCCTATAATCAGCATACATCTGATTTGACTGCAGGGGGTACACAGTACAGCGGAGAAGAAAGAGCACAGACTGATGGGAGCACTGGAGGCATATACAGGACAAAAAGGTGCACAGCACAGAGAGGGGAAGGGCTGGCAAGGCACTGCACAATAGAGAACTGCTGCACAGGTCTGAACACTACCAATGAGGAATAATTTATAGAAGAATAGAAAAACAGAGTAATAATTTAAAAAA